ATTATACTGAAGTTCTTTGCAGGGAAGACTTGGGGAATGTCTCCCAGTGCAATGCTACAGCTGTACAGAGTACTTTTTCTAGGTTTCCTGCATTACAGTTTACTGGCATTGACCAATTCAAGCAAAACAAGCCTTCGAACACTACAGAGTGTTCAATCCCAGGCACTCCGGATTTGCCTCGGCTTGCCTCGTAGTGCGTCGACAATGGCTACTATAGCTATTGCCGGTGACCACTTCATCACAACACATATCGACGTTGAGGCACTCAGGACACATATAAGGCATATTGCTCGGACACCCTGCCACGACCTAGCCTCTTTACCAGCAGACAGACCACGTTCGTCATTTTGCCAAACGGTCACCACATATCGCGATTCTTTGCCAACATGCTTCACACCCGCCGCCAGGCCTTCGACTCCTCCCTGGTGCCTGACTCAGGCTAACATCAGGCTAACTATACCTGGCATCCAGAAAAAAGCAGATATGTCATCACCTGCTCTTAGACAGCTTGCTCTGCTCTTTTATACGAGACGTATCAAGGCTGTATACACGTATAGACCGACTGCTCTGTTTTACAGATGAGTTCAACGGCATCATTTGTTATACCGATAAAAGACACAACAAGAAAATTCAAGACCTCCCACCTTACGACATCAACGGGAGCAGAGCTCACAGCTCTTTGTGCCGCATTGCAATTCATCAGCGATCAACAGCCACAAAAATGGACAATTTTCAGTGACTCAATGGCGGCACTGCAATCCCTTTTATCACCTTTACGCCACAGCCGGTACGAACAGCTGGTATTTGAGATTGCAGAAAAGACTCACCAATTCATTGAGCAAGGACATGAAATAGCCTTTCAATGGCTTCCAAGTCATTGTGGAATAATTGGCAATAAACCGGCCCACAGAGCTGCCCGTTCTGCCCATACTGAAAGCGATGAAATATCAATTCCGCTTTCCAGAACTGACGCTGCACGGAAACTCCGCATGCTTGCTCGCAAGCGCACCACGTCACCATGAAACGAGTCACATTTCATCCATGCACGGTTAGGTACTTTAGACCCAACTCTCAGTCCTCGAATTCCTTCGGAATTACGCAGACGAGACGCTACTATGCTGTGCAGATTATGATTGGGCGTCGCATTTACAAATGCGTACGCGTTCCGCATAGGAATGGCTGACACTGCTGCATGCGACTATTGTGGCAGTGATGAAACAACTTGGCACATTCTGCGTGAATGCCCACAATACTACTCGCAGAGACAGTCACTCTGCAATGCACTAGATGAACTGGACAACCAGCCTCTTTCGGAAGAAAGAATCCTGCGCTGCCAACAGGACATTATGTCGCAGAAGGAGGCTGTGAAGGCGCTCCTGCGCTTTTTGCGTTCAACCGGCCTGTCCAAACGACTGTGATCGGAACTCCCTGAATGTGTGCGCATGTTTTCTTTTTTCTAATTTATTTTATATCTCTCTATATCCTCTTTCCGACCCCTTTCCCCACCCCCGTACAGGGTAGCAAACCAGTTCGTCTAGGTTAACCTCCCTGTCTCTTCCTTTTATTTATTTCTCTCTTTTCATCACAAGGTTCCATCTTCCTCTTCCTGCCGTTCTTTGGATTACCATTATGATGAGACTCTAACAAGCCTACCTTACCATACTTCTTCATGAATATATAAATTTAAAAAAACATGAAAAACTCATGATGGTCACCCATGAAAACCGTTCTTTCACAAGTGCGATTTGAAGAGCATGCTTAAAAAAATGCATTGGTGAAACTAAACTTGCTTTCAATAAAGAAGCATCTGTCATAGATACAGCACACTAAACAAGTCAACTGTGTGATGCAAATGTAGGTATATTATTCTCATCTACTTGGCCAGTGAATCCAACTATAAGCACAATACTCTCAAGCCTCATCATAACAAAGTTGCATCTTTCATGAAATTAGGTTTATGATATCTGAAATGTTGTTATAAAAGTTTCTTTTTGCCACTATGTCTATTTCAAGACTATTTTTCATTTACTTCGTCATAACAAATATTTGGGTTCGCCATATCAAGGTTGCAGTGTATAATGACAAAGAAATTAGAATGAAAAACTATCAACAAAATACGATACTCACTGCCTGGGCCATTCGTAGCCCAGGCGGTAAGTGCACTCTTTTAAATGCGAAGCATTTTTTTGCCTACTGCAAGCACTTTTCCAGTCTATATGCATATCTATGTATCTAGCCGCTTACGTCTGGGTGCTTTCGTGATCGCCCCCTTAACTTGGCGTGAACCAAAATTAGTATGGGAGGGCAAGACAGTTTGACGAATATGACGCACTGGTTAGGACATCAATCCTGTCACAATACCATTGCGTAGTTATCAAACACATCCCGCCAGGCAGTAACACACACCCGTGGGCGGGTATGTGCCACAGGTAATTGACACTTAATAGATGTCTGCCCGGGAATGACGGGAACACACATGGGCAATATTAAAGCGTGAGCGTTTAAAAAAAAAGAAACCTGACATCGGCTGCGTTGACCCAACAAATGCAAAGAATCAATGTCAGGGTCCCAGCAGGGATCGAACCATGGCATTCTGTGTGGAAATAAAGCATTCTGTCACAGAGCCACGCCAGGTCTCGGAACTACTTTTTAAATACACCCTAATGTTTGTGAAACGTCAACTGTCGTTACAGTGATGGCTACCCACTTCTATTAATGTTACATATGTACTCCTATGATCCAGCCGTCATGCCGGGTTAACGTCTGTTGTAGTTGGGTGCCACGCCCTGAAGTTGATTTATGTTGCAGCATCTAGAGTACCACCCTCAGGAACACCACCACTTCATATCAGCTTACTGCTCCTGGTGTTGCTGATATTTATGTTCCTATTTGGCATCATTGTGCAAGTGCAAACAACTGGTTATATAAACATCTTCAACTCTCCAACATATGTCTGTACGTGCAACATTTATACATATATTTAGCATCATTTCATGATATGTCGCTCAATTAAAAAATTACAACACGGTAATCTTCCCTTCACATAGCGTCAATTCCTAAGGTGCGTGGGATTTGCCAAATTTTTTCGCCAAAGGATGTCATAGGCCACGTGATGCTCTCAGGCCTTGGGAGTGTTATTCATGGACTAACACTCTTAGGCATTAAGCACGCATGAATACGCTACAACGAGTGGACCTGGAGCACCCTGTGTTGTAGCTAAAGTGGTAGGGCATTGCACGCATAATTTGAAGGTGGCTTCGGATCCTACTAACAGAAGGCCAATTTTTTTAGTCTCTTTTATTTTTCTCTGTACAAGTAAGACTCATTACTATACAGTAAAGAAGACTCTACTGATGTCTCATACTTTCCTGGGCTTAAAGGGGTCCTCCAACACTATTGAAGCATCTGTTTTTGAAGATGTTAATTATTTGTGGTTTCCGTAGACCGATAGGTGGAGGTAAGTTTAGCATTGGTCTAAGCGTGAATATTGTATGCTTTAGTATTTTAATCACACAATAAAGTCAATACATTACTGCGGACCGCAACACCACGTGGTGGCGTTCGTCAGAATTTTGCGGGCGGAGATGGCGTCGGAAGGTTGCCGCCACATGATTGCATAAACGTAACATTAGAAGTGATCGAGGTGTAGGATAAAAACTAAGGTTACTAATTTGTTTCAATTTTCGTCTCAGGTGCTTCTTCATCGAACCCTGAACAGACACGGCCACAACAGAAAAACATCACTGCGACTACAAAGCACGACGGAGACGCTGGCTGCATTTCCCCACTAGATTTTTGGGTTACCCGGGACGGATGTGCATACCAAAGACCTCTCTCCTTTTCTTCCCTCGTCTTGCTTTTTGGGAGATTGCGAGCTGTCTCTTTCCGCATGTGCACTGGTGAAGGGGTGCAGTGCATCATTGTTGTTCGTCGGGCGAAGGGTCAACAACAACTCACTGTCCTGGCCGTTCCACAAGTTCCTTTCTCAGAATAAGAGCAGGGAGTGACTCGGAATGTTGAAAAAAAAAACAGCAGAAAATACCTCGCTTCACAGTAGCTCACGTTTTGGCAAGCCAGCCGTCAGGCGCAAGGTGAACAGTACCCTGAAAAAAAAAAAAAAAAAAAAAAGCAACAAAGCGAGCTTCCCTTACATAGGCGCTTGCAGTTTATTTCTTTGGGGCAGCCTTCTGACGTCATGGCAAGTTAAATGTGGTCAAGTGACCCCGCGAAAAGGGAGTTGAGGGTTGACCTTTTTTATATATATATTAAATTTTTCAAGTCTAGTAACTTCATACTGTGCATTTTTACCACTGCCGTTTTTGATGCATTAGTCTGTCTGTACTTTAGTCTACACAACCCGCGAGTAAAACATAAGGGGTTGAATAGTGTTGGAGGGCCCCTTTAAAGGAACGCTAAAGTAAAATAATTCATGTCAGTGTGATTGCTCTATGTATGACAATCTCTAAAACAAGAATATTATCGACAGCAGTGCCCTACTTATCGAGAAATTAAGGTAAATGCACGAGAACACAAGCGCCATGACTAGGACATTCGCTAAATAATTCCAATGACGTCAGGGTTACCGCCTATGATTAATCTTTAGTAACCGAACTAGCTGCACTAAATAAGGACCTTTCTGTGCATCAAGAAGCATAAAAAAATACTGCTTGTTTGTGTCTGTTAGACTCATGAGACAAACCACTAGACGTTACTATAAAGAATGGCGCGAGTGCTTCAAGAGTTTGATTTTTGCCTGGTTAAACTAAATAGGTCATGCCATATAGTGGGGCGCGATTGAACCAAGCATGTCTGCTATCTCGAAGGCCATTGCACAAAGTTGTTGGACAGCCGTTGTTGCTGCTGTGGCCCCAGCTACTTTCGCTCTGCTGCTACTAGTGTCAGCAGCCGCGCAGTAAAGCCAGGCAACATTGTGCATGGAAGCAGTGATGTGACCATTTCCACTATGGGACAGGTAATTTGAAGTGTGCTAACGCAATGGAGACCACTAAAACAGGATTTTATTGGAAAATAGGCACTTCCTTGGCACAAAAGTAGCACTACGAGGTTTCTAGACCGCTATTTCAGCAATCAACATTGACTTATTATTTGCCTTTAGTGTCCCCTTAACTGTTCGTAGGCTTCATTAGTTGTGTCTAATACAGAAAACAGCTCCTTGAATAATTTCCTTACAATACCATCTTTTGTTACAGCGGTCGATGAAGAATAAAAACAAATTTGATATTATAGGTACATCACGACATGCATCTATAACTAAGATGAATAGTTTTCTTCATGCAAGATAACAACTTGTTCACATAAACAGGTGAAAGCCATACTTATAAAATCATGTAATTGTGTGGCCACTGAGCAGTAGCAGACGAGAGCCATAGACCAACCGTTTCGTTTTTTATTATACTGCTCCTGATCTCAAAGCTTTCTCCTCCTCTTTATTGTGACCTGTTGGTTGTCATCTTCAACGGGGATTGTTGGTTATATTCAAAAACACACCACAGAAACCCTTGTGTGTGTCCTTGGTAGAAGGAGCCAAGTTTTTTCACAGAAAAGGGACATGGCACACCAAAACTGTTACTGTATTATCAATGTTTCTGTGTTCATTCATTAGCATGTTCACTTCGACACGCCAGACTGAGGTGACCACCCGGTAGTTTGCATGCTCGGTAGTCAACTCTCCGGCTCTTCCATTAGCTTCTGGATGATAAGGGAAATCTGCACACACAAGGCAAAAAAAAAAAGTTACGCATTTCTTAGTTTAATATTTCATATTTTATGTGAGTCCCAATTTCAACAACTTTTTAGGTCTACAGGAAATTTTGCATGTAGACACACTGCGAGTTATACAGTAATATCACCTTTATGGGCAAGGTGAGTTACCACTGTTGGATGCAAGACAAGCAAAGGCACTAAAGATTACTCCTAGGAATACCAGGATTCACAACAGTGAATCCACATTCTTGTGATTCACACATGGCAGACTTAGAAGCTGACGGTCACACACAATTTAAAGGCGCGCTTACGCAAGATTTTGTAACTGATATAGCCTGCGGAATCTGTTCCTGTCAACATGCTTATATCATCTACCAAAAATAGATTGGAGTGCAAAATATATGAATTTTACAATGCTTGGGGTATTATGTATCTACTGACACCATTCTGTGACATCGCAAAAGAGACATTTTTCATTGCCTCATTATGCGCTGTCAACATTCTCCACACACTGGAGTCAGCGAACAAATATAAAAAGTTTTCTTTGAGTTTAATGTTTTCATTACTGAGCATTGTCAAGCCAACCCCTCTACAATGGACATTATACCGACAAGTCAACACAGTTCTGGTGAGTACATGCAATCTACATCACATAAATCACTGTCGGTGGCGCCGGAGATACTGCACTCATCATTCTTCGTGTGTACCATGAGCAGATGGCAGTTCTGCCGCTAGCAAGTCGCGAGTCGCTGTCTCCTGGTGACATCACACTGCCATGACATGTCGTCGAGAAGCTGCCCTCTTCATATCAAAACTTGAAGTCTCTCTTTAAAGTAGCGGTATTGAAAACATGTGTTATGCATTCCCAGGCACCACAGTACTCTTTTCAGTGCACTCAAAACCAGCAATCTTAGTTAGAACAACAATCCCAAGATGTTTAAAATTTGTGTCAGTACTCCCTTAATTTCCCAAAATTGAGATTCTGTATTGGAGGTCTCCGAATTTTTGACCATCCGATGTTCTTTAACATGCCCTGACATCACACAGTACACAGGCTACTATCATTTTGGCTCCATCAAAATGTGGCTGCCACGCTCAGGACCGAACCTCTGACTTTGGGCCAGCAGCCGAGCACCATGATCGCTGCACCATCTTGGCGGATATTTGATATGAATTCATATGTTCACATGCGCGATTAAAATTCATGCTCAAATTTTTTGAGGGTTCAATTTTTTTGCACGACACAATATTAATGAGAACTCGTTAAGTTCATGACTGCTTTTCAGGACTATACACCGCATCTAGTGACACTGACATTATCTAATGAGATGTGAAGGTGACCCCCAACTTCCGTGACAACAGCAATGCACCCGAGCTTTGCGCTGGCACAGCTAAAACGACGTCAAAGTAATCGTTGCTCTTTTGCTGTGCTTGTGCCAGCGGACTACTATCCGGCAGCTGCTCGTGAGTCTGCGCCTGCAGCAAGCATGAGGAAAGTGTGGAAGCCTCAAGACAGTCTTTCTCACCATAGGACGTTGACAGCAATGACATTGTGCAGCACGTGCGACAGGAAAATAATGTAAGAAGACTATGCAGCAGTATAGAAGTGGGTCACAGTTCCTTGGGCTGATTCCCACGCTACAAGGCATACGTTGCAAGTGGTAGCTTGTTCTCGCCCAAATGTAAACTGAGACTGGTCGGCAATAAATGGATAGTAACTAATTATTTGTCATGTGCTACAGCAATCGATTTGCGGTGTTATGACTGATAGGCCCTCACCAACATAATGAAGACAAAAATGCTTGTGCCAGTATGTACACCTTTTACAGCAAAAGCTGTTATGAGATCACAACTCGGGTCACGCGCAGTTGTCCGCTGTTGCAGCCGATGTTCGTAACCACATTGCGCGAAATTGGAAAAAAATCCTAACACCAATGGCACAGTGGGGCTTGAACCCGGGTTCGCTGGGTGCCAGACCAGTATTCTACCACTGAGCTACGCCGATTCTTGTGACTTGTTGGCAAACTTGCTTAAGCAGGCTTGATGTCGGGAAAGCAATCGTGTTAATACGCTTTATAAAGCGTTTTAAAACAGCGAAAGAAGACCCAGTCGTCACACGATGCGAGTAGCGTAACGAGTTAGCCGCCCAATGCTCAAACCCATTACAAAAGCTTGTTCATGTTCCCCTATTACTGTGGCGCATGCTCACTTCAGCCATAATTTCTAGTCGTTGTCAGCCACTGCATAAACCATTGGCACAAAACTCCTTGCAAGTGTTTAGTGGTTACCACACTTCTCAGAAGAATGACGAAAAATAGCATGGCGAATGCGGGTCTACTACCCAAAAAATTTTATATTAATGCCCTAGTGGCCTATCAAGCAATTGTGCTTGCAGTATTTACCCAATGAGTGTTTGGAAAAGGATGCTAAAAGGCCGCTCTTCTAGCTTTCGCTGTGACTGTGCTGCGCCTTCCGCGCAGTGCCTGCGTTTTGCTTTTATCGCTGTTTAAAAACTAAAAGAGAGGAAAATAGTACTAATTTTGAGTTCCACAGCCATTTTGCTTTAAAGGTGCCAAGCAAAACTGTCCTTCTTGGTGACTGTTCAACAAAGGAATGACCTTAATTGTTATGCATGCATGAGGAGCTAACATTTACTTCTACAGTTTGCCACGCTTTACCCTCTGGGTCATTTTGTAACTATACTGTTAATAGACATAAGACAAGTCATAGTGGTCTAGTGGCTAGGGTGCTAGGGTGCCGTCCCAAACATCATGAGACCGTATCTGGGGCACGACAGTCACGTTTTCAATGGATGTGGATATGCTCGAGGCTTGTGTTTAGGTGCACGTTACAGAGTTCGAGGTGTTAAAACTTCTGAAGACTCCCACTACCGTGTATCTCATAGTCGTATCCTGGGTTTGAGACATTAAATCCAAACAATTATTATTATTAGATAGTAGACATGAGCATGCGATAAAAGACTTGGTTAGCTGGAAGTACAACTGTTATTAAAAGTTAGCTTATGATGCTTGTTTGTTCTTTTTCTGCATTATCACATTATTGCAAAAGTACAGGCTTGAATTTGTAAAACGCGTAGCGAAGCTTGATGAAATTACATTTATGAAACTTATGTAATTCCTCTGGAAACAATAAAAATTAAATGTATACTACTATATATATACTTACTACTATATATATACTTTTTCTTCTTGCCACAACAAAACTTGTGCTGCTATTACGTAATTTGTGTGAGCAGTGCTACTGTACAAGCTACCAGAGAAAGTTGAGACGCACCTATCATGTTCACTTACAGTGCAGTCCACTTATAACGATGTCCAAGTGCCAAGAAAATCCCATCATTATAACCGATAATTCTTATAAGTGGGTTGGCAAAAAACATGGAATACGAAAATCACTGCCCAAGCACTCTATACAAATGGTTAACCAGTGAAAGCTTAAACGTGCGGCCCCGGTGTTTAGCAGTGGGTTCAACTTGATGCTGCACTGAAAGCTTTTACAGTTATTGGTTACATGTTCGTGATTCTTAAAAATGCATCAAAATACTTGGCATCATTGTCCACGAGCACATGTTATAGAATGACCAAGTCAACGCAGTTACATTGAAATCGGCTAAGTGTAGAGGACTAATTAGTCGTCATCGGCATATACTACCATCTACAATAAAAAGGTTACTTTACAATGCACTTTTTGATTCCCTCCTAAGTTACTGCTTCCAGGTATGGGTATGGTATGGGTACAGTCCTTAACTTGTCAAAACAGATTGTGTTACAAAAGAAAATGGTTTGAATGATTTCGAGTGCTGCCTTTCACACTGTTTCTATTTTCAAATAATATCAAATTGTTAAAATATCAGATCTTTTTCAAATTGCTCTGCTGCTACAAGAAGGCAGCACTCAAAAAGTCAGACACATTTCTTCAACTCGTGAACCTTAAACAAAACCAAATCATTTATCATGTCCAATATCAACCACCTTGGCTGGCACATTCCATTCTCGCAAACACACTATGGAATGCAACGCATTCAACACATCATCTCAACAACATTAAACTATTTTGAAATGCAAGGAACAGATGTCTTATTCCCCACATACACACACACACACAAAAGGAAATTAGAGGGCTGTTCACTTAACAGTTAACTATTCTAACTTCGTTTTTGTAATAATGGAGCATACACATGTTTTTGCAAGTTGTTTTTTCTTCTCATTAATCATTCATATGCTTTACATATATATCTATGTCTACTATATGTGCATGCATATCTGTATATATCTGAACATTGTACATGATAATGCATACTTGAAGTGTTGAGTATTTTTCCTGCATATTTTTTTCTTTTTTGTCTTCTCAGATTCTCTGATATCAACTGCTGTACCCTCCAGTTTCACCGCCACCCGTTTTGCAGATTATACAGGAACACAGGTAATGGGCATGCACCCTGGTACAACGGTGCAATTGATAAGAAAACCACAAGCGAAAAAGAAAACATGGCAGCACTTCTTTTTGCTGTAATGCTTATTACAGCTTTTAATATCATTTTGCACTGCTCTACCGAAATGATCAATCAATATCAACTTTCCGAAATGTCAATTCTTCGTTGTGGCAAAAGCTACTTCGTTTGAGCCGTATCTGGTAATTTAGCGTCCTAAAATGTTTGCCAAGCACAGACTAGGCTCCCAGTCTTTTCATGCCATTTCAATGTTCACCTTCCTGGCCTTGACTTGAACAGGGTCGGATGACTTCGGCTGCAAGTCTTGAAGCTGTGCCAGGAGTGGTGCCCCCTGGCTTGCCAGATTGACATGGCCCTTTCTCAGCAAAGCTTCGATCAACACCAGAGCCCTCTGGTGGTTGGCAGGAGGCGGATGGAAGAGGCAGAAAAGGAACAGTAGTATGGCATCAAGTAAAGCGCAGGGAAGATTTTGAGTCAATTTATGAAAGCTTTTGAGAGAATGGCAATCCAAACATGGGGTATTAAAACTTGTTGGGCTAGTTGGTAATTTTTTCTATTGTAAATACCTTTAGCACAGCTTGGCAATCCTACAAGCACCCACATATTCACACACTATTCCGCATGAGAAACACAGGCCACACACAGCGTTGTGTGTGGTGAGTGCTTTTCGCGTGGAAGAGTATGAACGGGTGTGTGTTTATGGGATTTTCAAGCTGCGCTAAATATACTAACAATATTATTACAAACAGATTGCATTTTTTTCTTGAATTTCTCTTTGTTCATGGAAGAAGAAAAATGATTACGTTTAAATGTATATATTCAACAAAACAATGTGATCTGTCTTGATAATTCAGAGAACTTAGGCTTTTTTTTTTCGGTACCTGAGATGATAACTTATTCAGAAAGGCGCCAGATAAATCAACTTAGAAGGGGCATTTTGATGAACATAATAAATTTTGAGGCATTACATGCCAGAACCACAATATAGTCAAGCAGTTTGTCAGTGATTTATGCTATTTCTTCCATGTCATGATGCAGGTTGTCTATTTCACCACAAAAGCACAGTTGCATGCTGTGGCATAAATCAAGAGTATAATCACAAGGGGGGACACATTTTTGTCCATTTTTTTACAAATACAGGTTTAATTTTAATTATGTAAAAATTAGAATCATGCTGTATAAAAAAACAAAAAAAACTTGGAGGATGTAGCATCGCCTTTAAAAGCAAAATGCGATATTATAATCAGGCCCCTTGTGCATGACCTTCTTCTTAGTTAGGCTTCAGTGCTTGGTGCATGCCTCCACTGTACCACACACAAAAAAAAAATGAACGACTCTACACATAACTTTAGCCATTTCAAACTACCCTAGGATGTCTACTGCATATAACATGAATGGTTGCGCCGGCAGCGTTCCTCCTTGGTCGTGACTCTTGTATCCCCTTTAATCACACCTCCTCCAAGAGAGCTTGGTGCTGAGATAGTTGATAGGCTATTTAAGCAAAATAGGCGTGGCACTAGAAAGATTGGGATGAAATGAAGACACAGAACAACAAACCCGAGTGCGAACTTCCTCCTGTTTATTATTGGAAGCCATGCTGCTAGCACACAACCTAACCTTGACACATCTTCAAGCTATCTTTGAAGAACATCACCTCTTGGTTGCCTAAATACAGTAGACTCTTAGTAAACAGAAATTTGTTAAGCGGAACTGCTGCTTATATGGAACTGTCTGCGATATGCTTGGTATCATACTTGCATTCAGCACACCAGTTTATTTCTCAGTAATCGTGACTCCGGCTAAATGAAACATATTTTCTTGCTCCCTTCAGACTCCATTTCGTGAGAGTCTACTGTAGAGAGATGGCACACAAATGCACGAAATGCCTGCCTTTTTCATAAGAAACACCTCAATCATCTCCCTTTCAGTGCCACTGCTTGCTTTCCTAAGAATGTGGCTTGGCCTCTCTCTCCACGGTTAATTATGAGGCCTTATTCTCTTACCCCATCTCATTAGGCTGCTCCTTTCCTCGCGGTCATCAGGGGCATAGCTAGAAATTTGTTTCGGGAGGGGTTCACACCTACCTAACTGGGGGGGGGCACAGACGTCAGCGTCCTTTTGTGAGTGACTATCAGCGGTAGTTTCACGGTAGTTTCAGCAGATTGTGTACATGTACTTGTATATCAAAGTCATGACTCATGAGACTTCCCCCTCTCCCCATGGGTATGCTTTTGAAGAGAGTGTGATGACGTTTATTGAACCAGAGAGGTCGCAACGATGTCGCAACGAATAATGGTCGTACTACAAGTCTGGCAAAGGCGGCCCAGGTCATCGTGCAATCAGAGCACGGGGTTTTTCGTTTTCTTTGGAAGGCGCATACGCCTTAGTGCGTATGCTCCACTACAATACCCCAGGGGTGAAGAGTAGCCATCCTGGCGAATCAGGGAGTAGGCACAATGAGGGGGTCATAGTAGGGCTTGAGACGGTCGACGTGTACGGTCTCGCGTCCTCGATGGCGCAAATGTGGCGATTGTGTTAGGGGCTCGATGATGTAATTCACCGGCGAGGTTGCGTCAATGACATGGTATGGACCATAGTACCGGGCCAGAAGTTTAGAAGACAAGCCAGGAACATGTGGGGGCACCCAAAGCCACACAAGGGAGCCAGTACGAAACGTAGGCGCTATGTGATGAACGTCGTCATGTCGGGTTTTCGTAGACCTTGAGCCTCACTTGTCCTAGACCGAGCCAACTGACAGCAGTCTTCAGCGTATCTGGCGACTTCCGAATAAGGGCGGTACAAGAGTATAGTGTCGAGTGGGTGGGATGGTTCGCGGCCGTACAACAGAAAGAACGGGAAAAAACCGGTAGTCGCTTGCGTCGCGGTGTTGTAAGCGAAGGTAACAAAAGGTAATACAGCGTCCCAGTTAGTGTGGTCGGAGGAGGTGTACATCCTCAGCATGTCGCCAAGTGTGCGGTTGAACTGTTCAGTGAGACCATTCGTCTGTGGATGGTATGCGGTAGATTTCCGGTGGATGATGTTGCATTCAGCGAGAATAGCTTGGATGACCTCCGACAGGAACACTCGACCCCTATCACTGAGTGATTCCCGTGGAGCCCCCTCGTGGCGGAGAATAAAGCTGTGCAGAATGAAGAGTGCAACTTCGTGGGCGGTCGCTGCCAAAGAGCTGCAGTCTCAGTGTAGCGTGTCAGATGACCGACGCTGACAATAATCCACCGGTTTCCAGAGCGACTATATGGGAGGGGGCCATAGAGATCGATACCCACGCGGTCGAATGGGCGAGCCGGGCATGGGAGCGGCTGTAACATGCCAGTAAGGTGCCGCGGAGGTGTCTTGTTTTGCTGGCAAGTGGTGCAAGACTGAACGTATTTCTGCACAAAGCGATACATTCCTCGCCAGTAATATCGTTGGCGCAGCCTTTCATAGGTTTTCAGGACACCTGCGTGAGCGCTTTGGGGGTCTGCATGGAAATTCATGCAGATGTCAGAGTGCATATGAGTTGGGACAGCAAGGAGCCACTTCCTACCACCAGGCATGTAGTTGCGGCGGTACAGAATGCTGTCTCGCACGGAAAAGTGGGCTGCTTGTCGGCGTAGTGCTCTCGTAGAAGGGACAGCAGACGAATCGGAAGGTAGTCAAGTAACAATGCAAGGTATGAATCTTTACGCTGCTCCGAAAGCATGTCAGTGGTGTCTATTGGTGACAAGGCGGTAAAAAGGGGTGACAGAGAAGCCACATCTGGGGTTAATGGTGATCGCGAAAGTGCATCGGCATCCGCATGCTTGCGACCAGAACGATATACTACACGGATGTCGTATTCTTGCAATCGAAGTGCTCAACGTCCCAGGCATGGACAGCCAATGTGGACAGCCAACATAGAGCGTGGTGGTCTGTGACCACGTCGAAAGGACGGCCGTAAAGGTACGGGCGAAACTTCGTCAAGGCCCAGACTATGGCCAAACACTCCTTCTCTGTCATGAAGTAATTCAATTCAGGCTTCTTGAGAGCGCGACTTGCATAGGCGACTATGTATTCAGCTTGGGTGCCTTTCCGTTGTGCCAGAACTGCACCAAGACCGACGCCACTTGCATCGGTGTGAATTTCTGAGGCAGCAGCGGGGTCGTAGTGACGAGGAATAGGTGGTGAAGTCAGCAGGTGGCGTAGCTGGCAAAATGCGTCGTCACATGCAGGTGACCATGCAGATATACCTTTGCTGTTGGAAAGCAGACTCGTGAGAGGTGCGATGATAGACGCAAAGTTGCACACGAAGCGACGAAAGTAGGAGCAGAGACCAAGGAAACTTCTTAGGGCTTTCAGTGATGTGGGCAACGGGAAGTCAGCGACAGCTCGAAGCTTATCTGGGTCCAGAAGAACACCGTCTCTTGTGATGACATGTCCCAAGATGGTTAGTTTTCGTGCTGCGAAGTGGCACTTCTTGGAGTTAAGTTGTAGGCCTGCAGAAGTTAGACACGTCAGAATCTCGTGGAGGTGAACAAGATGTGTCGGGAAATCAGATGAAAAGACTACAATGTCATCCAGGTAACACAAGCAAGTTTTCCACTTATGGGCACGCAAGATGGTATCGATCATGCGCTCGAATGTGGCAGGTGCGTTGCAGAGCCCAAATAGCACGACTTTGAACTCATATAGGCCATCTGGCGTTACAAAGGCTGTTTTAGGGCAATCACATTCAGCCATTGGCACCTGCCAATACCCAGAACGCAGATCCAAGGATGTAAAGTACTCGGCGCCTTGTAAACAGTCAAGAGCATCGTCTATTCGTGGTAGCGGGTAGACATCTTTCTTTGTAATCTTGTTTAAGCGGCGATAGTCCACGCAAAATCGAACGATGCCATCTTTTTTCTTTACCAGAACCACAGGTGATGACCAAGCGCTTTGAGAAGGCTGCATGACTCCAGGTTTAAGCATGTCGTCTACTTGCTCCGTAATGACGCGGTGCTCTTCGGGGGAAACGCGGTAAGGACGCTGTCGCAGAGGCGAATGTGAGCCGGTGTCAATAGTATGAGTGATAGTCATGGTGCGGCCCAAAAAAGGTTCTTGAAAGTCGAAAGAAGAGCGAAACTTGTTAAGAAGAGCAACAAGTTGGCGGCGATGCGAGAGGGGAAGGTTTGCGTCAATAGCATTGTCGAAGGCTGACAAACTTGATGGCTTAGACGCATGAGTGATTGCGGCAATGTGACATGGTGTTTCATCGGGAAGAGTAATATCATCGATACGGTCGACAGGTTGCACATATCCCAACGTTTCACCACGAAGTAAGCCAATGGGGTAGTTGCAGTGGTTGGTAACCAGCGTCACGGTTAAACCAGATGCAATTGTAAGAACGACAAATGAGAGAACGATGCCCTTGCGTTTAGTAAAAACTGGAG